CCTCATGGTAGACAGGAAGCAAAGAGGAGGAAGCAGGAAGGGGCCAGGGACAAGATATCCCCAAGGACCTGCCTTTAGTGATCTACTTCCTCCAGCTAGATCCCATCTCCTAAAGTTTCCAAAACCTCCCAAAATAACTCCACCAGCTGGGGATCTAGGCCTTAACACATGAGTCTCTGGGGACATTTCATATTCAAATCACAACAATGGGCTTTGGTGAGTTTTAGCCTAATAACCCCATGTGGGATGGTTCTAAGGAACATTCTATGCTAAAATGTCAGATGTAAAACTACATTGGAAGTTGACTTAGGATGAGAAATGTTGACAGCAAAAGGAAGCCCAAGATTTAATTTCAAGTTGACTATTTTGAGTCTCCAGTGAGAGAAATGTCTTGAAATGCAGGGTTTGCTGAAAGGTTTTCTGAGGACATAGGATAAGGAAATGTTTTGATAGCTGAGATTCTGTGCTCAGGAAAATAAATTAGGAGAAGTCAGGAAGCAGAGAGGATCAGATCAGATGATTAGAGTAAGAAACTACCTAGGTTCAACTCAGGAGGTAAAGGTTGAGAGTCTAGGACAATGACTGAAAGGACCCCAGCTAAGAGGAGGAAGAAGCAGAGAAAACCTGGTCCACTTCTCTCAGCATCCAACATGGCAGCAGAATCTGCAGTGAGGAGCCTGAGTCACCCCAGCTTCCTACCAGCCCATGCTTTGCTCATGAGACACACACGTTCCTGCACCTTCCTGGGGCAGCAGTGAACATTGCTTGACCTAAGTCAGGTGAGGGGAAAGAAGATGCAAAGATAAGAGACCTTGGGCTCAGGTCACATCCATGGATAGTGGCACAGAATCCCAAGGTTGGTCCAGAAACCTCCCTCCCTCCCTCCAACCCTGCCTGGCCTGAAGCCATGTTAGCGTCTCTGCATCCAGATGGGATGGTGGGTTTCAACCATAGCATTCCTGGAGGGCTCAGATACAGAGAGGGGTACAGTATTTGCCCTACAAAGAGTAGTTTTAAGACATGCAATTGTAAAAAATGCTTCAGGAAGTAGGTGGGGTACAAGACAAAACAAGAGTTGGTGGGCTGGAGTTGATAGACTGTTGAAGCTGGAGATGGATTATGTGACTTACTTTTGCTTCTATGTTCAAAGTTTTCTTTTTAAAAACTTCTTTAGGAAATATGGCATAGTGTTAAGATTTGATAAGGATGAGTAATGAGTATGCAAGTGTTTAGTATCTTATTCTGTAGTCTTTGGACATACTTTAGGTCTTTGTATTTGCAATCATGTTTTGAAGTTTTTGTGGGCCAAACCCAACATCTAGGCCCACACAGTTTTTTTTTTTTGAGTATGGATCATATGTTTCTCTTTGCATTATTCATAATTTCTGGTTGAAAACTGGACAACTGTCTACAGCCATACCACCCTGCATGCGCCAGATCTTGTCTGAAAACTGGGCAATTTAAGTTACATTGTAGTAACTTCTGATTCTGATGTACTTTTCTGATTCTTTTAGCTTGACTGAATTATTTAAAGTGTGCAAGTTGTCTTCCCCACAGGAGAGTGTAGATGCTGCTGTTTCTGCTGTGACATTCTTATTTTTCACTTCTAATCTGACTTCTCAGGGTCCATCATGCAGTGATGAGGTCAGTTGAGGCTGACCCTGGAACCCTGAGGCTTCCATCCATCACAGAGGGATCTGTGTGCTAGGAAGTCGCTCACTCTGAGGCCAGCTCCACCTTGGCTGGCATCCTTTCCAGTCTTCCAAGTCTCCCTAGCACTGGTGGTCCCCACCAGCCCAGGCCCCTCTCTGTGTTCCAAGGTCTCCACAGTAACTTCCCACTGGCCTACCACTGTTTGATGCATTTCTTTCCATCCAAGTTGGCCACCTTTACCTGATAATGTCAAGGGTTTTGCACCACCCTGTCCCCCCACACTGAGTCGACTCCACTGTGCAAAAAGCTGCTGGTTTTCATGATCTGCTTAGTGCTAGAAAAACCCAGAAGTTTGGAGGTGAGGGGAGTCCTAGGAGGAGGGCCATGGGCTCCAACAGTTCTTACCTGAAGCTCTAGAGGCTTTGCAAAAATAATATTCAATTCCTTATCTGCTTTTGGTAAATCTACACAATCCCCCCAAATGGTCATTTTTGACAATTTTAGTTTTATATTTGTTTTTTGCAGGAAGGACTAGTTGACCTCTTCATACAACCATAGCCACATTCCCTTTTAATATCTGTCAACTCGTTTCCAGTAACACCCACCTGCACATACGCTCACACAAACATGCATGCAAAAGGATGACAGCAAGAGTAAAATTTTAGCAAGTAAAACTAATGTCAAAACAGAAAAAAAAAAAGAGACTTAGAAAAAAAGGAAGTCAGTTTCTCAGTAGCAGTTCTGGGAAGAACTGATTTTTACCATCATCAATGTTTTTCAACACAGGAGCTAGCAAATGGCCAAGCACAATTCCAAAGAGAACACCACAAGCTATATGCATGTCTCTAAGACAGCAAAACAGGTTTACATGTGGCATGGGGATGCTTTAGGAGAAAACTTTAAAATGACTTGAAAACTTTCAAAGACTCCATGGAAGGTGTCAAAAATAAAAAAATTACGTCACTAATCTAGAATTTGGTACTTTATCTCTGCCATCCTTTTTATTCAAGGAAAATACCTCTGACAAAGGGATTCATGTGTTAACTCCCAGATTGCCTTGGTTCTGCAGAGCAGCCCAGAAGCAAATTTACATTGCTTTGTTTCCAGTTCTTTAAAAGATATCATGTCACCCTTTGCCTTTTGGGAAGGGTAGACATCACTCCTGGGTTAAGACAGGTTTGAGACTGACCCAGCTTTGTGAGAGGAAAGCTCCCCTTATAATACCTCCAACATCTACATCCCTCATGTATAACAAAGGACAATGTAGCTTAGATTTTTAAGGGAATCTTGCAACATCTGAGAAACAAACTTAATATGAAGTTCACAGTCAGATACTTTTAAATCACTGAGGGCCAAAAATAGTTCACCAAAGTCAAAGAATGTTGGAGCCAAAGACTACTTGTGTAAAAAAATCAGCTGAAAATGTAAAAACATTAAAAAATGCTCACAGCTGAAAATTATCACAGTCAAAATATCATTACAGTGCAAATTATTAATATCTTAACCCCAGAAGGGCTAAAAGAAAAATTCCATTTTAGGAGCCAAGGCAGAAAATCAACTAACAATTCAGATGTTTGCTTTAAGTGATCCATTTATTAAAAATTTTTATCTCCAAGAGAAATATTGTTGCAATTATGATTATTAATTTACAGGACGTACTAAATTTTGACAATGATATGCTGTAAAATCCTCAGCTATACCATTATTCACTTGACCTAAGTCCCAAGGACAGGAGGACAAGGTTCAGGTTAATAACATTTTGTACTCTACTAAAATTGGTTAGGGCAAGAACCATTCGGCTTTTATCTGACATTTCATTTGCTAGCTTGTTTCCTTTGAGATGTGTTCCTCCCATCTGTCTGCCAGGCCCAAGCCAGGATCCCCTAGCACTTGGCATGTGAACCCAAGAGCATTTCTCACACTTCTTCAGTAATCTGTACATGCGTCCATCTCTCCCCTTCACTGTGGATTTCTCAGGCCTCAGAACCTACTCACTCATTCTCTAGCAGAGAAGCTCCCCTCCAACATTACAGGAAAAGTCCCATGGCACTCCTCCACCCAAATCCACCTGCTATTTGTACCCCGCTCTCTTCTGTGGCTCCTGCCCCAGTGAAGGTATCCTTCCTACCTACAGCCAGCCCCTCCACCTGGGCTCTGATCTTACCTGTGTCCCAGGCTCAGGAACTTGGTTCCGTCTCCTCTCTTCAGCCGCCCCATCTTCATGCCCTTCCCGTAAGTATATATACAAACTCAGGTCTCTCGCTTGGAACAACATTCCCTTCACTCTATCTTGCTCTCCTAGAAATGCCCTTCTGTCTTTGCACTGCTCTAGTCAAAGCCAAAAACTGCTTTCTGGCCCTTAAATCCAACAGTCTTCTTAAAATTTATCTCGCCAGCCACTGAGCAGCAAGCACTTTTCATGCTTTTGATTTCTCCTCACCTTCTGGAAATGACTCTTAGCTTCCGTAATCTGGCCATTCTTATCTACTCTTAGTTATCTGTATATAACTATAGGCTTTAGCTAGCACACCACAGGTGGTATATTTATTCTTTTAATACAGGTTATGAGTGAATGTGTCACCTAATCTTATGATCCCATGAGGCTTAGGAGGTGGGTATCATCTCATTTCAGAGACAAGAAAAATGAGGTCCATATCTAAAGTAATTTCATGAAAGGTTCAAAATCATGACTGCAATTCAACTGTCAACTTTACAACCCATATTCTATCAGATCCTGCAATCACACGAAGAGTTAAACATACTCAAGTTCTACATCTAAGGAAAAATGGTACACTGATTACCTTGGGGAAAGAGCATAAGGCCAATGATGCATTCTACTACCTCTGAAGGAAAAGAAGAAAAGCCTGGCTGAAACTCTCATGATCTTCTCTCCACGCATAATCTTGAGAATCTTAAGTTGTTCGTACTTAAAATTTCCAAGGCTCAACTAGAACCCTAACAGCACATGTCCAGTGAGCACTCGAACACAGGAGCTTCAGTAGTTCATTAACTGCCGCTATAAACAACATGTGTAAGTCATTTCTCCCCTCTAAAGAAAAAGTCAACAGCTGCTTGCTAAAATCTTTTTTATTGTGGATGAAGACATTGCCAACTTACATATATCATTTTTATTTGGAGAATTCTTTTTTCCCCCTCCCTTACAGTATTCCTGAGAAATTAAAAAATGCATTGACTTTAGTTTTATAAAACACAACCTAATATTAAGGTTGGGTTGGAAATTTCTCACATTTAGTTGTTTCCTTATAAATCAAGATAATTTATCAATTTTAAATAGTGAAAACTTAAAAAGTTAAGAAATAAAGATGTAAATGATCACAAATGTCAGGATATTAAAATTATTATTTTCCCCACAGGAACACGTAAAATAAATACCACCTAATTTACTTGATACTTACGAAATTAAAGATAAACTTTTGTTGATGGAGGATGTTTTAAACATGTTGGTATATGAAAAACTTCATGAGTTTAAAACCAGATTCAAATGGCTTAAATTTGGTGCATTCTAGTTTTCATCACGCCCTGTCCCTGAAGACATACCTTGCTCTTTTTATTTGCCCATTCATTGACTGGCTCAATATTTTCAAGTCTTCCTGCCCATTGAAACTAACCATTGAAAGGTTACAAGAAATAAAAGGCTTTATTTGGGGGATACTGAATGTGTCAAGAAAGCCATTTCTTTTTCCTCATGGGTTTGTTTACTTTTTCTTTCTTCTCCTTTGAAAAACAAGAATGTTTAGCAGCCAGATGTAGTGGTTCATACTGTAATCCCAGCTACCTGAGAGGCAGAAGCAGGAAGATCAGTGTTCAAGGCCAACCTAGGCAAAAAACTTATTGAGACTATATCTCAAAGAGCAGGCCAGGCATGATGGTGATGTGCACCTACTAATCTCAGTAGATTAGAGGCACAAGTACGAGGATTGAGAGTTGAGTCAAGGCCCGTCTGAGCAAAAAGTACAAGACCCTATCTGAAAAATAACTAAAAGCAAAAAAAAAAGGCTGAAGGCTTGCTACAAGCAAGTTCAATTCCCAGTACTAAAACTCATAAAACCACAGGATTTGAAATCAACTTCAACGGATACATGAAAATTTCTGTGATAGCATATTTAACTATAGTTGAAAACCATGAGGAATGTTGTGAAAAACCGTGGAAGCTAAGGCAACATCCAACCACAAATTCTACCAAGTTCATAGAGAAATAAACAGTAAAAATCACTGTTGTTAAAATACTGCAGTAAGTGTGCTGTGAGCAGTATCCTACTGCTAACATTAGAATTCCTTGCTTCATCACTGTCTGGGTACTAAGAGGTTCCTTGAGCAGATGGCTCATCTCTCACACAACTTAGTTTCAGAAAGTCAATGAGTTATGTCTGGTTTAGATCAACGAACACTTAGAATGCATACCAGGGAGCTATAGTTTCAATGATGCAACAAAAACATTAGATACTACAGCTTTCAGACAAGGTCACATACTTAAACAGCAGCCCTATAATATCATGCTCTGTGATACTGGATGTACAATCCACCCACAACACCTTTCAAACTCAGGGTAAGCTATGGGGTGAGGGGGGACAGGTTGTTTTGGTCAAGGAAGGAAATACTTAAAATGTCATAAGGCATTTCAAATATGGTTACGTTCTACTTAAATATCTACCATGCATCTCCTTTTCAAAACAAAACACTTTTTTTCATGTTTATTTCTTCAAAATGAAGGACCATGTATCTTTTTTAGCTTAGAAACTAGCATTTCAGTTGCTCCACACTGAAATGAGTCAATAGCAAGCAGCAAATAATTTAGGATAGTTAGTGAAAATATCCTTTAAGGAGCATATAAAAATCTACATTAATACAGGTGGTCGACTTAGGATGGTTTGACTTAGAATTTTTCCACTTAAATCATGGTGCAAAAACTGATGCAGATTCAACAGAAACTAGTCCTGCTTTTAAATTTTCACCTTTTTCTGGGAATGGTATGCTCTCTGGATGCTGTGCAGCAGTAATGAGCCAAGCACTCAGGAATGCAAATGACCAGTATTCTGTGGCGTGCTGTGTAGAGAAGCTAGGATGGTTGGTAGGTTAGGTGTAGTAAATGTGTTTTCAATTTAAGATGTTCTCAGTTCACAATGGGTTTACAGGGACATAACACGCTATAAACTGAGGAGCATCTGTAATGTCATAGAGAAATAACAACAGGCAAATCAGGCAGGAAGCAGCTTAATATGAACTTCTATGATAAGCTTCCTTTAAACTTACTGAAGAGTGGCAAAATAAATAAGTTACTTAAGGAGAGGTGACATTGTGAAGCAGCATTACCTCAAGTTACTTCATTTTTTAGAAAAAAAAAAGTTTAAACCATCAACACATAATCAAACTCCCAGTCTTCTAATGCATTGGAAATATACAATTCACCACAGTAAAATTTACAACCAAATTTAGTCCTCACCAGAGTCAGGCATATTTATATACTTGGATTAGTCTCATTTTCACCTTTCCTTGCTGTACAAATGTTTCTATCTTAAAGGCATGTCTAAATTTACAAAATATGCAAGAAATTTCTTTTAAATGTACAATTTCAACAACAAATACAAATATGAACATCCTGATAAGCTTTACGTCAGAATTTTTTATGATGCATTTATAAAAAAATTAAAAGAAATACTCTCTTACTCCTAAGGTTCAAACAAATGGTGTTGGTGCTGGTGCTGTTGAAGTGATCTCACTGCCCTCTGTGACCACTGTGATAGGGACACACAGTCCTGGATCACTGTGCCTTAAGCAGCAACACCTCAGACAGAGGCAGCAGGTGGCAGGTTTGATGATATTGCTGACTACAGTTACATGGCTGCAGCTGCACAGTGTAAATTATATAAAAGTTGTATCTGTGTGAGGAAACCTAGTTTTAGATACCTTCAAACATACACCTCAGCTCTTGAAACTAGATGGTATATCTATACCAAGTACTCAACAATAAAAAGGAACAAGCTATTGATCCATGCAACAACCTGGATGGATCTCAAGGGAACTGTAATGAGTAAAATCATCCATCTCAAGAGGTTACATAATGTGTGACCCTATTTATACAACATTCTTGATATAACAAAATTACAGAGATGGTGACAGTGTCTAACAGGGATGAAGGTGGGAGGCAGCGAGGGGTGGTTAGGGTTAGAAAAAGGCTGCTCAAGGGATCCTTGTGATAGAAGAGCCGTATCTTGACTGTGGTGGCCACATGCACCTATACACATGACACAATTGCACAGAGCCAAATAAACATTCCATCTCAGGGTACCTAGGAGCTCTCAGGGACAGACCTGCTCTCAGTCTGTCCATGCCAAGTCCTCTAAAAATGATTAATATGTGTATATGCTTCAGATGATTTTCTACCCTATGCACAGAAGCCACTACTAGTTTTTTTTCTTTGTAAATCCCTTGATAATCTTTAAAAAATAAACCCTGTGTGTCTAGCTTAAATGAGCTTGAAAATCAGAGAAGGAAATAAAAAGCTGATATAGGCAGGTACCAGTATTTATGTCTTCCCTTTTTATTTCCATAAATTAAGATAAATCGTTTCTAGCTTACATTAGGTCAAATGAAAGAAGGAAAAAAACAGATTGTATAGCAAACACTTGCTCCTCTGACAACTGCAATTTCTAAAAGGAGTAAGAATTTTTTTTATTAAATGTAGAGAAATTACAACCACAAATACATGACTTCTTCAGAAAGGCCACTTTGTGATAAAATACATAAGCATAGTGTTCATGGTTCCTTTAAAGTGCTAGATAGACTTTGGCTTCAGAATCACCTATTGCTTTAGCAGGTCTTTTAGCACAACGCCAGCACTGTTGTCAGGTGACACTGGCAAGGGTGTAAATGTGGGCAGAACATCTGAGATGGGTTTCAAAAGAAGATGCCCGGGCCCACCAGGTCCAAGTCCAGCTGGGTTAATAAGAGGCACTGCTGCAGAGCGGGGAGCCAAGAATGGATTCACATCTGCTCTTCTACCAGCTCTGGCTTCTGCTGTCTCTAAATGATGAGATATGGATCATTCAGTCTCTATTCTTCACAAAGAAGTTGGACTGAAATAACTCTCTGAATATAAATAATAGCATAAAGAAGGCTCTTCTGCATTGTTGAATTGGTTAACATTTAAAGAGATCTTCCAGTAATTTCAACTCAAGAATTTTTACATGTTAGTATCACTGATATAAGTAAGACCCTTACAACCCAGTGGGATAGTAAATGTGTATATATGTCTAGAACCACCAACCATTTGCTTCCAGGCAGATCTTTTAGCGCACAACATTCTTGGTGATCTAAAGTTGGTTGACTAAATTGAGCTTATATACATTATCTACAAAGTTTGGTTATTAAGTATAACACTTAAGATTTTCAAAGGTGACACCCGCCCCTTCTCAAAACTATAAAGTACACATCTAAGTTTAATTGGTAATAGGCACCATTAGTGAGAAACACAAACAGGTGATCAAGCAAAGATGTAATTAGTTCACCATTATTTTTCCAGAAAAATAATTCACAATGCCTTATGCAGAGAGAGAATTATTTTGACATACAAAGGGAAAATATTTCATATATTAATTAAAGCAAATAAAGTACCAGATTGCTATAATATACAAAGCTAAAATTTGATACCTTGTTGGAACTTTGGAAGCATTACACATTTTCAGAAACACCAAAAATTTAATATTGCTATGAAGAAAAAATTGTTAAGTTAAAACATTCCATGTTTAATATTGAAGAAAAAAAATAAATATCTGGTTTTACCTTTAGAACTTGTTGGAGCATTTGTATCCAGTTTTCTCCTTCCTGGTGAATCTAGAGGTTTTATGTCATAAATAGAAAGCTTTGGTGGTGGGACAGATGGATGAGATTCCATTTCTAGAAATTTAACAAAAAGCTCTGAAAAAGACTAAGAAAAAAATGTTTTCACATATTAGGCTTGATAATAAAAGTACATTTACACTAGGCACGGTGGCACACACATATATGTAATCCCAGCATTTGGGAGGCTGAGGCAGGAGGATCAAGAGTCCTAGGCCTTACTGGACCACACAGTGAGACCCTCTCTCAAAAAATAAGACAAAAAGTAAAATAAAATAATATTCATTACAACTAAGAAAATGTGCCCAGGGCTGGGAGAATGGTTTAAGTGGTAGAGTGCCTGCCTAACAAGCATGAGACCCTTAGTTCAAATCCAAGTACTGCCACAAAAAAATGTACCAGGTATTCTAATTAAATATTAAAACTAATTATGCCATTTAAACATTTTTTTAAAAAATCAACTTTAACTGGTTATTATCAAATTTTAATAACTTAGTAAATAATATGTCATGATGACTCTCATTTTAAACACCTCATAGAATTAGTCAACTGACAAACTTTTTTTTTTTTAATTTGTTTGTTTTGAGGAAGGGGTTCACTATGTAGCCCAGGTTGGCCTTGTACTCATGATACTCCTGCCTCCACCTCCTAAGTGCTAGGATTACAGACATGTGCCACCATGCCTGGTTAATTATTATTTCTCTAATTTTTGTTTTGTTTTGTTTGTTTTTTGCAATGCTGAGAATTGAACCCAGGGCCTTGTACATGCCAGGCAAACACTCTACCACTGATCCACATCCCCAAGAACATTTACTTCTTGCCAATAACAGCACTTAAGACATCAAATCATATCATTTTAATAACACAAACATAAAATTATGTCAAAGGAAAAAAGTATTAAAATATGATTTTCTAAAGTAAGACCCAAAGAATATAGTAAAAGGTCACCAGTAATATTATCAGATTAAAATAATACAGTGTGCACCTTTCCTTTAAATTAAATTTTATGTCATCCAAGTAAAACAGGGTTTTATGCTATCTTTGGTATCCTCTTTAGTAAAAAAATAAAAGAAACTGCATTCTAACTCACAGTGCTAATCAATTCGATTAATGGTCACCTAAAGTCTACTGCATAACAGGCACTGTGTTTTCTTGTTTATTAACCGTCTCCTACCAGAAGATAAGTCTGTTCAGGGCAAGTACCTCATTACTTAGCTTGCAGCTGCATTCACAATGCCTATAACAGTCTGGTACCTAGCAAGGCCCAATAAGTACATTCATGAATAAAGCCTCTATTCTCAAGAATGTTGTAATTTCATAGCAAGTTTACCTGAGGCAGCATTATCAAACACACAGAGAGAATAATTAATATCTTTTTAAAAAACAACAACAAAAAAACCAGGTTCTCACTATGTAGCCCAGGATGGCCTTGAACTCATGAGGCTTGTGCGGACACCTCCCATGTGATGGGATTAAAGGCATGCACCATTATGTTAAACTTAGCTAATACTTTGAAAAAATCAAAATACCATATAAAAAGTGAACATAGCTGGACACAGCAGATCACAACTGTAACCCCAGCTTTTCTGACACAGAGATCAGGAGGATCGCGGTTCAAGGTCAGCCTGGGAAAAAGTTAGCAAGATTCCATCTCAATCAATAAACTGGGTATGGTGGCATGCACTTGTGATCCCAGATACACAGGAGCCAGAGGTAAAAAGATCTCAGTTAGAAGCCAGCCCTGGGCAAAAATGCAAGATCCTACCTGAAAAATAACTAAAGCAAAAAGGGTTAGAGGTGTGGCTCAAGTGGTAGAGTGCCTGCCTAGCAAGTCAAGATCCTGAGTTCAAAATCCCAGTCTGCAAAAAAAAAGTTAACACCTGTATGCAACAAAATTATTAAAACCAGCTTGTCATAAGCTGATCACCTGTCTGAATCTGTTTCTATAAGTTAAAAATAAAAGGGTCATATAAAATAACCTAAAATGAAATGTGAGTTTGATATACAATCATGTCACCATTTACATTCAGCAAGAATAAAACTGGTTCTTACACTATTAAGCATAGGTTGCTGATTTGGTCTCAGAGGTGTGTTGGGGACACTTTTTGATCCTCCTCCAAGCCACCCAGTCATCCACCTGGCAACACCTCCTTGATCTTCATTAAACAACTGCAAGAATATTTTAAAACATAAAAATATTAATACAAGAAAAGATAAGTTAAAAACCACTTTTATGTGATTTTTTAGATAATAGCAAATCAGGCTTTTTAAGTTCAAGTCCTAGAAAATGTTTCCTACTATATCAGAGGCTACCAATACAATAAAATGAAAGTTTTGGGCATGGTTACATCTCAAAATTTCAGCATCTTGATATGAGAACTGGTTTCTAAGTTGCAAAGTATTTAAACTAATATTACACAAATTGAACCAATCTTTCTATTCAATGTAGAATGAAATGACCTTATTTCTACATAACTGAGAAAATCACATTAAGTAAAAGTTATATACAGTAAATAGAACAATTTTCCATGATGTCCCCATGTTGTAACTATGTTCAGAATGGGGTTAGGATGTAGCTCAGTGGTAGAGTAGTACACAAGGCTCTGGGTTTGATCTCCAGTGCCATAAATAAGTACACACACAAAGTATTCACAGTAGCTGTTGCTGTTTACTTACCTGCTCCATCTCCTCCTTCTTAATACCAAGGATGCTTCCTATTAAACGTAACACTTCATGTCGCTTATTTTTTGGTGTGTGGAAATGACCGATGAAAAGGTTTCTCATGAGGACTCTGTGAAAAGGAAGGTAGAAACAGCTAAAGCCAACTCAACATGGCAGATTCCCAAACACTAGACATATAAACATTTAATTATACTTCAATAAACTATTTAATTACAAAAAAAGACTGGAAAACAAAACATTTTAAAGTGGTTTTTTAAAAAATCTTGACAAATCTAATTAAGAATGTTTCCAGTAACTCATAATGTGTACTGTTTCAGACATCACTCCTTAGGCACTCATTTTCTTCATCCCAGTCACCGACTGAGGAGGTCCCTCATTAGTAATTCTCAGTGCTTGATGGGGCTAATGCGCCCCTAGTTGCAGACACCTAAATGGTGATTATTCTTGACTTACCCGTTGTATTTTCCCCATTTGCATTTATTAAAAATTTGCTAATAATACCAAATGCTTAAAAATATTAAATGAGATATTATTGCACATATATGTAGGTTTCAGACCTAATACATTTGAACAAGTTATGTTACGGATAGTAAAGGGAGAAAAAATAGTAAAAATAACCTTTCTATTTTCTAAGTACTTCATGTTGGGTTGATGTTTTAACTCATCCATATGGTTTTATGAAAAAGAATGAGTTGGGGAAAATATTCTTAAAAAAAAAAAGTTTTTCTACGGACCTTCATTAAAATTACCCACACATCTCCTCACTACGTAAGAAAAAGAAAAGGCTTCTTAAAACATATAAACTTCTATATGTAAAAAGTGTTCTACTGTGAAAGCAATCTTTGTAAGATATTACAAAAAGTTAAAAGGCAAAAGCATACTTGTCCACTTTTCCTTCTGTGCTGTTTACTAAAGTCATCAATTTCTTTTGTGTATCATCCAACATTTCTTGTCGGAGCTCACCTGTTTTAAAAATATGTGAATAAAGACAGCCATTAACTGATTAAAATAGTCTGGATGAATATATGAGACTTACGAGATCTTTACCATGAACTCTGAATGTATGCCCTATTCTAATTGGGAATATTCAATTACTTCCATCTCCTCTTTGAGTCAGGTAAAACTAGGCTCTCTGGTACAGAAATTACCTAGAAGCCAGAGTATGCATTATTCCACCTGGTTTACTCCAATAGAAAAATTTTAGAAAAATCACCAAGTTTCCATCCCCATTAGTAACTTAATAGCAAAAGAACAGACTCTCACCCTAGTTCCTTGCATGAAACATTTCCAGAGCAACTTTTATTTAGTGGGAGGAAATGGAAAGGACAACTTTAAATTTTCCTTTTTCTATTTTCCTGGCTGGACTCTGGTTTTGGAGAGCTGGCTAAGAAAAAAAAAGTATCTTAACATAACTAAGACCACAACTCAAGACACAGCTGATAGGGCAAAGTATTCTGGGGTAAGGAAATTGCAAAATACAATTCAGATAGATCTTGGGAGCTAACATACTAATCATGTTACAACAGCTTATGACTCATTTAGAAGGATGTTTAGACTATTTTTAAGTTTCTATTTAAAAAGTAAGCAAAATCCGTAAAACCTTGTTGGGATAGTTGGGATTTGAGACGTTTAAAGGCAAAGTCCCAAATTACAACAGGAGATTCCCTGTTCAGACACAGACCTGAGGATCCTGGACCAAGGAACACTCAGTCGAACATGGAGTTTACACCTGTTACCTCAAAGGTAAATACTCTGAGCTGAAAGAAGTATTTACTAATTGTAAGGGAGACTGTAAGTTTTCATTCTTAATGAAATGGAGACCATGTTGTAACAGACTGCTACTTTTCAAATGAGGAAACACATCCAAACACTAGTTTTTGACACCTTCCCACAAATCTACCCTTTCTTTGACTAGTAGTAGCTGGGTAACTTCAGATACATGACTTGCAAACATTCTTTCCCATTCCATGGGTTTTCATTTCTCTTTCTTGATGCTTTCCTTTGAAACACAAAGATGTGAATTATGGTAAAGTCCACATTTGTTTTCTCTCTTGTTGCCTGTATCTATGATACTTTATCTAACCCAGTATCATGAAGATTTACTTCTATGTCTTCTTTTAAGAATGTGATGGTTTTTGCTGTAAAATGAAGTTCACGATCTGTACCAAGTTCATTTTTGTGCATGGTATGAGGGTAAGTGTCCAGTTTTGTTATTTTGCATGGGGACATCCAGTTCTTTCAGCACTGTTTGGTGAAAGAACTATTCTTTTGGCACACCTTTCACACATCAATTAACCATCAGTGTATGGTATACTTCTGGACTCTCATTCCCATTGCAGGAATTCTGTATGAGTTTTTTCCTCCTGCAGGGAAAGCGCTTCTCCATTAGTACTGCCAACTGCCTCTTACCCTTCACATTGCAGTTTCCAACTTACTTCCTCAAAAAAATTTTATCCAAGTCTTACAGATTAGGTCTGTGTTTCATTTTGTTCTGCATAATGCCTAAAATTCTGATTTACAGTACTAAATGCAAATATAAAATATCTAGCTTAATAATTTGCAATGGCCTGTGTCTTCCTAAATTGCAAAATTTTAAATTGCAGAATGTTACTCATAATAGGTGAACTTTACCAAAATAGAGATGGTTGCTATAACCATATTATAAAAGCAAGGTTTGTGTTTGGAAAATCTACTACAAAGTTTTCCTTTCCTGTCTTTCCAGTAAGGAATTTAAACTTGAACATAAAAGGGGAAGGGGGAGAGAGAGAGGAAGGAGAAAGGAGGGAGGGAAGGAGGAAAGGAGAGAGGGAGGGAGGGGAGAGGGAGCAAGAGGGAAAGGGAGAACAGGACAATTATTAAAGTATGAATCAGTACAAGTCTTTTCTATCTTAGATTCTTTATGTGCGTACACATGCTGTGGTATGCACACTATGGGCACTTGGTTGCTCTTTGGGCCTTTTGCTAGTACTACATTCTGAATGTGAAAACTCTTAACTATTCAGAGGAAGAACAGCACAAAAGCAAGCTAAGCTCTTGTCACTGTTCTGACTTAATCATCTCACTCATCACAAGTGAAAGTAGCCAGAGTAAAGATGGGCACAATCTTGTCTTCCATCCTTACCTGCTCCTCCCCCAAAAGCTATAGAAAGATAGCAGAGAAACAGGTCAAACTTTTCCACTCTACCTCCTCCTCACCTTTCTGACATTTCCCCTCTCCTGCCTACTAGCCTCCATAATTAATCATTTTTATGCTGAATGTTAATAATTTGTATACACTGGGTTACATAAAATACACTATCAAAATTAATTTATCTGTACCTTTTTAATGTGACCACAAAAAATTAAAAATTATGCTGGGTGTGGTAGTACATGCCTGTAGTCCCAGTATTCAGGAGGCTGAGGCAGAAAGATCAGGATTTAAATTCCAGTCTGGAATACATAGTGAGACTCTGCCTCAAAACTAATAATAATAAAAATACATGTAGCTCATAGGGTATCTCTATTGGACAGTACTTTCTTAGAGCATAATCCAGATATAAAAGTACATTATATGGTTGCTTATACACAAAGTCAAAAAGATGAGCTGGGTGCTGTGGTACACACCTATAGTCCTAGCTATTCAGGAGACTGAGGCAGGAGGATCACCTGAGTCCAGGAGTTTGATGCCTGGGCAACAGAGTAAGATTCCATCTCAAACAAAACAAAATGATAAATGCATTCAGAGTAAAAATTCATAAAGCAAAGAATAGAGTCTGATATAAATAATTTTAGTAAAATAAGCTAGAAAGCCAATCTTTAAGGCCAAAATGATAATATTAAAATTTCTTAAAGTCACTAGTATAATACATACTTAGTCCCCGAGCTAATGCGATATAGAATGCAAATTCAAGCAGTAATTTAAATGTATTTTGATATTTGAGTCAGGAAGGAAAAAAAAAAAAAAACCAACCAAAACCTAACCCCAGAATTTAGGGCAAAGGACTAGAAGAAACATGTATGAGAGGTTAGAAAAAAAAGTAAATTCAAACACCCATTTCAAAGGTCTCTATGGATTCCTCTTTTTTCTCCAGGAACACTTATTGTTTCCCTCCCATCAGATTCTGAATATTTCTCTACAAAAACTGAAGAGTAACTCAAACCACAATTTGAAATCAGAACTATATTTATATGGGCAAGCAAAATATGGTCATTCAGAAATGGGTTTTAAGCCAAATACAATATTCCTGTGAATAATCTCACATGCTAAAATAATTCTTTAGAAGTTGTATGGGGTGGGGGAGGAGCACTTTAAAGTTGAGCAATAAAGCAGCTGAGATTGAGTCCAGTCTGGGGAAAGAGTGGCTGAGTGCATGACACAGTAAAGCTCACAAAGCAGAGCTTTTCTGAAACACCCAGAGATGGCACCATGGTCTTCACCATTTCATCTAAAATCAAAATTGAATACAAAAAGTAACCAACTGCAACAAGTCAGCACATCAAAATTTTACATTTGATTTGTGACTAATAACACTGCACTAGGCCAGGCACCCGTGGCTCATGCCTATAATTCTAAGTTTTCAAGACCCCACCTGGAAAAAAACCACTCACAAAAACAGGGCTAGTGGAGTAGCTCAAATTTTAGAGAGCCTGCCTAGCAAGTATGAGACCCTGAGCTCAAACCCCAGAATCATCAAAAACTTGACACACACACACACACACACACACACACACACACACAGCGCGCACTATAATTCTGTCTTCAGCGAACATCTTAAAATGAATCATATTCCTTGTTTGGATAGCTGGATATTTCAAGACTAAGCTCATATAGTTAAGACCCACTCACTTGACTGAGGAAAAAAAGAGCCGAAGCCCACCTAAACCCTGAGTGTCACAAGACCTGGATATGAACCATGGTCCTAACCAGGGCCAGATTTTGTTGCCTATTTTGTAAAATGAGCATGCTATCTCAAAAGATTTTGAAAGAATCAACTGGAGATCAAATGTGGTTTTTCTAAACAGTAAAGTGCTAAGTAAACCATGAGTATTCATTCATCCAGTTTCATAAATTAACAAGGAGTTCACATGTTCAATTTTGCCCTAATCAATAACAATCATACTTATCACTTTGGTTAATACTGAGTTTTTCCCTCTCCATTTTACGTATTTCTTTCTCATCTTTAAGAATCAATTCAAAAGAATAAATACAAGAAAGAAAAACATGTTAGAAGGATGATTTCATTTGTATGTATAAATGTAAATAAATTAGGTCTGGGGTCCTAACTGTATTAGTAACCTTAAAAATAACTTTAAGGGGAATGGGGGAGGAGGGAGAATAATGGAGGGGATGAACCAACTCAGGGTATAATACATGTACATATGAAAATGTCACAACAAACCCCCCCAATAACTACCATAAACTAACAAAACTGTTCTTTTTTAGTAAATAGAGGACCGGAAGGTAAAACAGGTCTTGTCTGGGGAGCAGGTATCAGTGGGGAGGGACAAAAGGAAAGGGTGAAGGAGGTAAATATGGTGGATATATTTTGTACTTATGTATGAAAAGAGAACAATGAAACCTACTGAAATTGCTCTAAGAAGTAGGGAAAAATGGGACAAAAGAGAAAGGAGGGGGTAAATCTAATTAAGATATATTGTAAACACTTATGTGAATGTCACAATGTACCCCCGTGTACAATATAATATATTAATAATAAAAAACTTAAGCCTAATACAATATTAAACCTAACATAATTTTTAGAACACTTTCAACACCAAATAATATTTTTTAAAAATACTTCTATTTATAATTTGACATTCTCATGTTTTTTATAAAGAATTTTTTTGACCCTATCGGACACAGAATTTTAAGATCTGGAGTACATGGTGAATGCATTCTTGTCCCATAAGCATAATTATTAACTGCTGAGTGAAAAGTTCCTTTTAAAATTCTGCTTCCTGGCAATGAACTCAAAAGAAAAGAA